ACTTTCCCCCCCCCGCCAGCCGCTGACATTTAACGTGATTAATATTACCTGGCATCCTTCAATCTTTTTTGTGCCGGCTCCGGTGGCCAAAAAGCGCCGCGCGAGCCTCCCCCGCACCCGCTGCCCACTCCCCTGCTGCCTGCGCGGCGGCAGATGGGGAGCCGGGCGCCTGCGCTTCCCCCCCGCCTCCCCACCTCCCCCTTCCCCGAAGGTCACGGGTAGGTAACAGCTGCACAGCCAGCATTAATAATTTCACAAATAATTCGATTTGGGAGGAAGATGCTCAAGCGACGGCTCGGGGACGCGGAGGAGGGTGAGGGGGATGCAGCCCAGGTTGGCACCAGGGGACATCACCCAGCATGTCCCACCTGCGGAGGGTGGCATCCAGTCTCCTGTCCAGCCACGGCCTGGCTGCTAAGGTGGGGATGATGTCTGCTCCTCGGATGATGAAGTGGCCGCTAAACTCTGCCAGATAGAATCATAGAATCGTCTAGGTTGGAAGAGACCCTTGGGATCATCGAGTCCAACCATCTACCCTACTCTACAAAGTCCTCCCCTACACCATGTCCCTTAGCACTGCATCTAAACGGTTCAGCTATTATCTTTAGATTTAGCTTAATCTAAAATTCAAGATATTCTCCGAGTTAAAAATAGTATGCCATAGAGGCAGGTCATCCCTTAGCTACCCCCACCCGCCGGCCCCCCCAAAATAAATAAATTCCAGGACTGAAGGTACCATCTGCATCCTTTGCCATGAGGAACATGGGGCTGGCCGTGGTTTGGCCAGTTATATGGGTCCAGCTGTCGATGCCCAGGCTGGAGGGAGCAGGGGGAGCTGGAGAGAGGGATGGAGGGGGAAAAACTCAGGAATGGGAGAGGAATGGAGCAAAAGGGGAGAAGCAGCGTGTGTATGCTCGCGTGGAGGGGAGCATCAGGAGGAGACGCTCCAAAGCCAGAGAAATGAAAAAGCCATAGGGAGAAAAAGTTACAGAGGGAAGAAAATAGCAGCAGGGAGACAAGCAGGAGGAAGGAGGAGGGGGAAAAAAAAAAAAAAGCGCTCAGTCACTACTGAATAATGTAGGGCAGGCTATCGGGGGCTAGCGAGAGTGACAAAAGCTCCCAGCCTTTTCTTTTTTCGTCATTAACAGATGGAGCCGTGCATGAAAGCAGGGACGTAGGCTCCAAACCCGCAGCTCGAGCAATCAAAGCGTGCGGCAGACAGGAGCGCGCCAGCCCCCGCCGCAGCCAGGCAGCCTGAAGGGATGAGAAAAGCTCTTGGAGCCCACGGGATGCCAACAAAGAGGCGAAGGAGACCCCCGTCCCACCTGCGTTGCCCCCCACCAACACAGCTGGCTCCACTTGGTTATGAGCACGGGCAGCCCCGGGTGGGAATTATCCCTGCCAGGAGGATAGGAATTAACCTTTCCACTTGCCTTTCCTTCCCTCCTGCCAGCCCTTCCCTGCTTCTCAGTCACCAAGACCCCCCTGCCTCCCCCAAAAAAAGGACTAAAGCCCCCTTCCCATCAGCTAAGCTCTCCCTGTTTCACAGAGACTGAAGGTGGGATGCCCTTTGCTGGTGCTTTTCCTTTCCCAGAGAGGTTTTCCTCTCCAAGAGCACCCCCAGTGCCACCGGAGCAAGCCGACAGCGAGAGCTGGCGTTTGGTCAGGGCTGGCAGATGTCCCCTGCACAACCTCTCTTTTCTGGCTTGGTTTTGGATCTCTGTGCTGTTTTTCCTTGTAAAACCTGTGGGGTTGTCCCAGCAGACCCCGCCGGAGGCTTTTCCAGATCTTGGGGCATCGTAACCGCCCTCTCATTTGCAGCCTGAGTGTGTTCGTGCCCAGTGTGGGGCTGTCTGTGCTCATGCCAATATCATCTTCTCACCCCTCTCTCCCTGCTACCTTCTCCCTGTTATTTCCATCTGCCAAAGTTGCATCCTGCCCGGCCAAAACCGGCTTTCCTCTGGCCTTTCCCTCCCCACCGTTGTTCATGGTGGGTAGCCAAGATTGGGGGTGACATCCTCCCTTGCATCTTTGTGTGCTCAATCATCAATTCCTGTCCATCCTGGAAAAGTGGGATATAGGGAAAAAGAAAAAGCTGGAAGCCACAACCACAGATGAGCGTGGTGACCTCCTTCGGGCAAGCTCCAGGGCTGGGGGGACGCTGCCCGGGTCAGCAGGCATGGCATTACCCTCTGTCCCACCAGCACAAGCTATACGAATGCCCAAGGCTGAAGCAGCCGTGCAGACCCCTCTCAGTGCTGGAGCAGCCGTGGTGGCCCCTGCTTTGGCCTCTGCAAGACCAAAAGTCACCACAGCCACTCCAGCACCTTAAAGAAGTTCTGGCAGTGTGGAGAAAGAGGTCACCATCTTTCCAAGCCCGTGGCAGAGTACCTAATGCCCCAAGGGCATGGGGAAGGGAAGGGGCTGCTATTTATGGAGAAACACCAGCAGCATGGCGAAGGATCACCTTCTTCCTTCCAGCCTGGTTTTCTTCCAGCTGGGATGGGGTCTCCCAGCAAGGTGGGATCTGGGCTCTTTGCAGGGTGTAGTAGTGGTTGGGAGCATCTTTGCCAGGCACCGGGTTTTGGATCAGCCAAGGGAAGAATTTTGGTCTGGGTTTTTACCCTGGTGGGACAAGATGTACTCGATATCCTCAAGTGATGGGTCATGTCTTGAGGACTGGAGGATCTATCAGTGGCCCCACTTCTCTGTGGCATCCTGATGGCCCAGGAGAGGCTGGCTTATGCTTACAAAGAGCTACCTGCCCGACCTGGCACGCGTGCAAGCACCCCCGCACGCCGGCTGAGCCGGGCTAAGAGGATTACAGCCCCATTATGTGATGTTAATGTGCTGGCCGTGGTGAAGCAGCCTCACGTGAGGTGGGGAAGGAGAGCTCCAAGCTCCTTCCTGTGTCGTCCCCTCCTCGTGGGAGGCTGCCCACGGGAGCAGAGCCAAGGGATGACCCCAGTGCCCCCACGTCCTGTCTTTGCTCTCTCTCTCTGAAACAGCAGAAAGTAATTAAGAGCAGCCGAGCTTCATTTCTCAGTAATGAACTCAATGGGGGCTCTGAGAAGGGAGGTACAAAGTCAGCTGGAGGCTCTTGGAGAAGACCTTGCTGCGGATGGATGTGGGGTTGTGCTCCCAGCACTCCCCATGGTGGTGCAGGCTGGGCATGGCCTTATTTAACCTCTCATGGTGACACTGTGCTGAATTTTCTCTTTTCTCCCTCCTTACCCCCGCATCGTGGCTGCCGCCGAGTGCAGCAGGAACTGCCAGCCCGCACCAACGGCTCCTCACCCACCGCCCCAGCGCTCGCCCGCGACGCCCTCCACACCAAGATGGAGCAGCTGGAGGAGCAGCTCCTCTCCAAGATCCTGACCCTGCAGAAGGAGCGCCAGGCCGCCAACACCGACCGCAGCCAGCAGCAGCACAACATCGAGAAGGAGCTGAACTCCCTCCAGAACCGGGTGACGGAGCTTGAGCACGGTGAGTCCTGCCAGACAGGGATGGAAGTGGCACGGCGGGGTCCTGGGACAAGCCACCCTCATCCCAATTATGGATTCTGACCCTCCTCTCTCCTCTCCATCCTTGACACATAGGACCACCAGGCTACAGCCCTCCCGATGCTTTCAAGGTGACCATCCCAGTGCAGAACAACTACATGTATGCCCGCATGAAGAAGAGCCTGCCGGAGCTCTACGCCTTTACTATCTGCATGTGGCTGAAGTCCAAGGCCCTGGCAGGGCTTGGCACCCCTTTCTCCTACTCTGTCCCAACCCAATCCAATGAGATTGTGCTGCTGGAGTGGGGCACCAACCCCCTGGAACTGCTCATCAATGACAAGGTCAGTCCAGCTGGAGGGGTGATGGGAGGGAAGCCCCTGCCCCCATCTCCCTTGCTTCAGCCCTCTTGGGAAATGATGCTTTTGCGGGTACCAGGGTGGGGGAGCTGGGAGGAAGGGGTCTGGGGCGGAGGGGGCAGGCAGGAGGGTGAAGAGGATGGGGAGGATGGCTCACCAGGGTGGGTTTTGGGAAGTATATCCAGATGTCTGTAGAATTCGGGGTGCCACCATCATGCGGGTATACTGCTTGCTCTGCAAGGGGCTAGAGGAACACCGGGGTCCCCCGGCAGTCCTACCAAGCCCTGGGCTGTTGCTCTTCTCGCACAGGTTGCCCAGCTGCCTCTGAGCCTGAAGGACAAGGCCTGGCACCACGTCTGTGTGGCGTGGACCACCCGGGATGGCAAGTGGTCAGCGTACCAGGACGGTGAGCAGCGGGGTGCTGGTGAGAACCTGGCCTCCTGGCACGCCATCAAGCCCCAGGGCGTCATCATCCTGGGCCAGGAGCAGGTACGTGCCAGCTTGCCACCAATCCCTTCGTCCCCCATTTGCTCCCCGCCTTGTCTTCTTGCATCTCCCCCACCACATCCATCCCTTCCCCTCCTTGCCTTCGAGCATCTTGTTCCGCTTCCACCCAAACTTCTCCCTCTACCCCACTGAATGTGTGTCCCTTCTCCCATTCCCCATCCCTGTCCCATCACCTCTCCTGCTCTTTCCCAGGACACACTGGGCGGCCGTTTTGATGCCACGCAGGCCTTCGTGGGGGAGCTGGCGCAGTTCAACGTGTGGGACCACATGCTGGCACCAGCAGAGATCCTGGGCTTGGCCAACTGCACCTCCCACCTTCAAGGCAACGTGATCCAGTGGGATGACCAGGCGGTGGAGGTCTTCGGGGGCGCCAGCAAGGCGGGCTTTGCCGCCTGTGAGGAAGGGAGGAAGGCATGAGTGGCCCCTTGCCCCCTCCCCAATGCCAAGGAGCCCGGCAGCAGCCCCAAAGCAGGGAGCCCCTTTCTCCCCTCCCAGACCACTGATCCTCACCGGGGCGGTGCTTGAGGCCTCCATGCTGGCATCCCGGGAAGTCAGGGGGCCCTGACAGCCTCCCTCTTGCCCCCATGCCAGCAGTGTGGCTTGTCCCCCCTCCCGGCAGATCTGCCCCCGGGTCTCGCCTTGCCCTGGTTTTATTTCAGGAGGACCTCACCATACCCACTGGTGTCTCCAGTATGGCGAGGGTCTCTGCCTTGTCAGCCCCAACGGGGAGTGGGAAGGTGACCTCTGTCCATCCCAAGCATAGTCTGGCCTCGGTGGGATGCCAGTGTGTGGGCATCCTCCGAGTACACCCCCTTCCCTTATTTATTTCTAGAGCCCCACTATGTGGTTTTGTGAGCCCATAACTCCAAATGAGCCCAAATGCTTGGCCAGGAGCATCTTCCCCTCCAGCCCCATCCCTTCTTCCCCTCCCACCCTGATTTTCCAAGCGTGGCCCCGGGGAGGGAGCAATGTCAGGGGGCCAGGGGGGCAGCTCTCCCCCCCTTGCACCCCTTCCCCTGCCCCTGCTGCCTGTTTGGGCAGGGCTGCCCGAGGGGAGTCTGTTTTTGGGGGCAGAGGGAAGCAGAATGGGACTCCCCCAGTTGAGGGCAGGGGGGCAGTTGGCCACTGAGGGAATGTGGGGAAAGCAGCAAAGCATCTCCCCCATCTCTGGTCGAGGAGGGGGGAGCACAACCCTGATATCAACGGGAATGAAAGCAAGAAAAAAAAAAAAAGAGACAGAGGATGGTGGTGGCCAGAGGAGTCCTGGCCCCCATCCCCTGGCCTTTTGGGCACTAAATGGGGTTGCTGCCCTCACCTCCACCTGGGTCCCCCGCTTTGAGCTTCTCCCAGCAAGGGACAGGGCTGCCACCGGCCTTGAAACTGGGGAGGGTGATGGGGCGGGCTGGTGTTTTCCCCGTGGAGTGCCTGAGAATACGCTGTTTCCACGCTGCGTAGTCACAGACGTCTTGATACGTGAGTGTGTGTGTGTGTGTGTATCTGGAAGGGGTGGGAGGGTTATTTCAGGGGTCTCGTGGTTGCTCAAATCGGTGTCCAGCTTCCAGTGCTCCCCCCTGCCCCAAGTCCCACTTCGTGCTTTCGGCGACGGCTGCCCCCCAGCCCCGGGGAGGTGAAGCAGGCAGAGGGGACAGACCTGCCACCCACCATCACTTCCCCCAGGCTCCCCGTCGGTGATGGGGCAGCTCAGCCCACCGGGGGGGACGTGGTGGGGATGGGGTACAGCCCTTGTGCCAAGTGGGAAACACTGTGACCTTCGTGCACCCCGATGAGCTGCCCCCTCTTCCTCGCTCGCTCGCGCGCTTTCTCTAATGCACGTTTGTGAAAGGGGCCCCTGACGTGCGCCTGTGTTGGGACATTTCTTTTGTAAAGCTGATCATGGACAATAAACGTGACGTTTTCTGTTCGAGCCTCCCGTGGGACGTGAGGTCAGTGTAGGGATGAAGGCCACCGGCTGGCCTCAGCCAAGGTGTCCTTCACCGGGATGCTCAGGGTGGAATCCCTGGGGCCCGCAGATGCATTACAGAAATATTACAGTGAGCATCTGGGTATCGTGGCCTCAGGAGGGGGGGATCACAGTTTGGGCACCCCTTGTCTACTCTGTCATGGAGCAGCACGGCTGCTGCTGGGGGGAAGCACTGCTTTGTGGAGGAGAAACCCCCCATCCCCATGATGGGGAAGCAGAAACCAGTGGGAAATCACAGCCTCCAGGTCAGACTGTGATGGTGAGGAGCTCACCTGGGGTATAAATCTAATTAAGTACTAGTAATGAGTTCCTGACCCAGCTAGTTACGAGCTGGTTTGCCCTCAGCATGGCTCTTGGAGCTGCCTGTTCTAGAGAAACCTGTGGCCAGGTGTGCACGATGCCTTTGGCCCTCCATGGGTCCCATCCCTCCTAGGAAAGGCACAACCTCTCTGATATTTGGAGAGACCAGAGCATAAAACCAGAGGACTCAGTTTCCACCAGGGCCCTGCCATTGCTGGCATGCCAGTGGGGTCTCCTTTCTGAGCCAGAACCATCACTATGAGGGTGGGGAAATACTGGAACAGGTTGCCCAGAGAAGCTGTGGCTGCCCAATCCCTGAAAGTGTTCAAGGCCAGGCTGGATGGGGCTCTGAGCAACCTGGTCTGGTGGGAGGTGTCCCTGCCCATGGCAGGGGGGTTGGAAGTATACGATCTCTAAGATCCCTTCCATCCTAAACCATTCTATGATCAACCTTGGCTCCCACTTTTCCTCCTGGAGGGTATTTAATGCCATAAAATAAAGTCTGGGGCTCTCCCCTTCAGCCCATCAGCACATCTCCTCAAAGTTAAAGGTTTTTTTCAAGAAAAAAATAACTCTGAGTATGTAGTTCAGCTGGTGCATACACTCAAGGGCTTTGCTGAGCCGGAGGCTCACTCCCACATCACCAAGAGGAAGGGGTTCAACATGTGACCTCTGCTTGTGCACTCAAATAACAGCAGCATCATTAAGGATGGCACCTTTTGGAGCAGGAAATGTCCAAAACCATTGCTGGGGTCACAAACGTAGGAGCAGGTGAAATAAGGGGGGTACTGGTCCAGATGACCCTCCTAATTAAACTGCAGGAGCCCTACTAGGGTGCTTTTGGGGCTGCTGGCCAAGGCAGAAAACCTGCAGGAGGATGAACAAGGATGGGAACAGCCTGGCCACTGGTGTAGGGTATTGGCATAAAACCTCTTCCTCTGGAGCCCAGAAACTCAGCCCATGCCAAAAATCTGTGTGAATTCCCCCTTGGAAAAGCAGAAACAAAGGGACACCAGGAGATGCTTGGGCAGAGACTTGAGTTCTGCCCTCCACCTCCCTGCCAGACTATGCTGGTGCCGTCCCAACCCCAGCTACGTCCCCGGGACACGTGGATCTGTCACTTGTGGGATGGGAGGAAGTGGGAAGCCTGGCAGCATGGCTTCTGCAGGGTGACGTCCTCTTCCCCCAGAGGGTCACAGCCAGCTGGGCAGTCCCGGGGGCGTGGGGGGCAGGGAGCAGGAAAACTTGACATAATATATCCAGACATTTTAAAAGCTTACGGCAAATGCCTCCGTATAATGCTCTTCAGGAACCGAAGGCATTATGGGGAGATTAGAATCTGGTCGGGAGACGGAAAATCAAGAGTAGGAATAAATATTTTATTTCCATCCTGCCCTGGCTCTCTGCAGGAAGCGGCGGCTGTTTCTCACCCATCTGGGGAGGAGGAGAGCAAGAAAGGACCGTTTATTTTTGGTAAGCCGAGCCTTGCAAGAGCTGCAAACCTGCGACAGGGCTTAAAAGGTGGAGGAGACAACAAATCAATGGCGTTGCTGGCTGGAAGGAGTAATTACAATGACTTACACATATTGCTTGCTTCTAAATTAACCAAGAGCACTCAGGAGCAGCCCCGCTTCTCTCTAAGGGCAGCCGGATGGAAAACAACGTGTCACACACAGAAGAGACGAGGAACAACAGAATCGCCCTTGCGGGGGGTTAAAAAAGGAAATTTTTAACAACGGTGCAGAGAACTTTTTGTGGTTGGAGCAGGTGTCCTCAGGTGGGATGTTCTGCTGCGTCCCTAAGATGGGAGGAAAAAAAAAAAGGGAAAAAAATGGAGAAAAACCAAGATGTGGGCAGAGCAGAGGCAGGGACACCGTTGGGCCACCGTAGTTCAGCGGGGGCTGGCACAAAAGATGATGTCAGGGGACACAGGTTGATGCAATGGGTGCCACCTGCCTGCTCTCCTCTATTGCCCTACCACAGGGTTGTTAACACCTTTCAAGGGGTGGAAAGGGACTACCTTTTCCCTTCCTAATCCATGACACGTGTTGCCGTGGGGCTTCCCATGGGCCGAGGGCTTAGCTGGACTCAAACAACCCCTGCCAAAAAGGGCGTCATCCTGCAGGGAACAAGAAGACCAAGTCAAACAGGGCAATAGCAAACCTTCAGGCCTGATGACTATTAATTATGGGGTTTGAGAAGAAAACGCTGCAATTCCTGAACCCTTCCAGCCCTTGCCCAGCCTGCTGGAGGGCACCGCCAGCAGTGTCTACCTGAGGACATGGGCAACCCTGGGACCCCCACCTCGGGGTGGGCTTCAGGAAGCTCCTGTGCTCCCCGACACCCACAGCCTCAGCGCAGGGCTTGCAGGTTGCCCTTCTGCTGCATGTCAGCCTCCCGAGCCCCCCAAAATAGGTCAAGCCAGCCTGTACTTCATCCCCGGGGAGGTGACACTTCCGAACCGTTACCCGCGCTGCCCTAGCAATGGGGGACCGCCTTAATTGCCTCCCCACGCCTCTCCATCCCGCCGGGAGCCTCTTCCGCTCCCTCCCGGAGCCAGGCAGGCTCATTAAGACTCGTGCGGTGCTCGCACGGGGAACGTGCCGTGCTTCCAGAGCATCTGGCACAGGAACGGCCCCCGCGCGGCTGCTGGCACTGCAGCAGCACCATTACCAGAGATAGCAGCTGAGGGATCACACATTGCCCATCAGACATGGGGATCCAGCTGTCCCCAAGCAGGTTCCTCTCTCCTCCAGAGCAGAGGGCTTGGCTCCTCTCAGCTGCCACCCGTTCCTGCACACCAGCATCCCCAACTTTGCCCTCCCTCAGCTCAATACAAGGTGGTGGGGCTCTGATACCAGTGAAACGCAGCTTCAGCATCCCCACAGGGCCTCCTGACCATCCTCCTGCCTCCAGGGAGCCACAAGCATCTTACCCATCTTATTCCAGCTGCAGGACAGACTTCAGCACGCCCCAAGCCCCCAGCCCAGGTCCTCCAGTACCACCCAAGGTGGTGTGGAGCAGTACCCAGCACCTGGGCTGCAGCCAACAGGCAGGACAGCTATCTCCAACCCACCACCTTACTGCAGAGAGGACACGGAGAACAGCTGGAGCTGTGTCCACAGGGACAATGGGGCTCCCCAAAAATTGGCCAGCAAGAGCCTGTGGATCCATTCTGCCTGATGAAGTGTTAGCCTGCTCTCCAGTCCCCCCTACCATCAGCAATGGAGATGGCTAAAAGAAAGTATGGGGTGGTATATGGAGATCTATATTATATACACACATATTTTGCAGTTTGCAGTTACATTTCTGTTTCTTAGCTAAGGAATACCACACAATTTAATGTCAGACAGCAAACAGCTGCCTGTTTTAAAGCATTTCACCGTGGCTGCCAAAGGCAAAGGGCTGAGTTTCCACCTGCAATTAATGGCGAATAAGAAAAGACCAGCCAGAGCAGAGTAACTATTGTGTTTCCTTACTGATCCAGAGGGACAAATCGGACCCTTGCTCTGGACTTGTCTTCACCAACAGATGGGCTCCTCATCACTTGGTATGGAAACTAAAGACCAAGTGACATGAAGCCAGACACATATCTGCCTTTTGGGCTAGCAGCTAAGGGACCCAACAAGGTTTTGACTGGCTTGTGATATTTGAAAAGGCAGCTTGCAGAAACCCTGCATTTGAGGGCCAAGAAAGGAAGCTCCTGTATTCTGCTAAGCCAAAAGCAAATGGGGACGGGCCAGCAGGATGCTCTCCTTCCTCAGGAGGCATCTCCACCTTGCAGCCCTGCTGTATCACCCACCACAATCGCTAAAAACCACAGCGTTCCTAACCTTGAGGCCCTGCGCAGTTTGGGGTTTGGCCATTTTTCCTTAGCTTTTCACCTAGGAGCCACTGATGAATAATCCTTACAACCGGTCCCAGCATTTCCTGAGGGAAACGCTCCCTGGGGACACATTGATCAAAACCAAGGCACATTTAATTGAACCCAGAATGGCATACGCATGCGCGCTCCACCACCCCACCCCACCCCCCCACACACAGAGGAACAGAGGCGTATGCACACAAACACACCAGCTCGCGCCGACTTGCTGCTTAGTAGCAAAAGTGGGTGAACTACACAGGGATTAAAGCATTAAAAAAGACCAAAAACCACAGCAAGACTACGATGCTTGAAAGCGCCGCGTCCCCAGAGAGATTAGAGTAGCTGCCTGGAGATAGAGTAATGATGATGGAAAGATCTTCTTCCTCACAGAGGTTCTATTCCTAATTATCTCTCTTGAAAAAAAAAGAGAAGAAGAAAAAAAAAAGAGATCTCCCAGCTTTTATCTGTCTCTTGACAATTTTAGCTCTCTGCCTGCCTTATTGGAAGAGGCCGATGCTTGCCGAAAGGAGGAAGGAGAAGGAATTGGTGCAGGAGGTAAGGAGCAGCAGGAGAAGGAGGGGGACAGGAGGCAGCGCTTCATTCCTGTCACCAGCGGCAGCGAAGGCAAAGGGAAAGACAAACGATCACTGCAGCGTTGTCTTTCTGAGCCCAGAGACGGCTCCGCTGCCTCCACCACTGCTTTGTCAGGCAAAACACACCCTGATTCACTGCTACACCAGCGGAAGAGGCAACAAGATGTCCTCTCTACAGCTATAGG